TGCTCCCCTGCAGGGCCCGTGCCATTCGGTTCCGACAGGACAGCAATGAAGCCGTTGGGGGATTTTTCTCCCAGATTGGGCAGCTCTACATGGTCCATCACCTCTGGGGTAAATTCCTTTTTCTGCTTCCTTCTCCCACCCAGCCAACCCAATCACTTTGCCCAGGAGTTTAGTTTTACAAAAGTTTTACAAATAGTTTTACAAAAGGCAAAGGAAATGTCTTAAAAGTTGGGGTTTAATTTTTTTTTTTTTTAATTTCCCATTTTTAAATTTTTTTTAATTTGCTGATTTTTTTAAATATTTTTTTGTGTAGATAAATTTATTCTTCACCAAACAAGAAATGAATATTTCCTGGTTTATTCTGTTTTTCCCCCAGTTTCTGCTGTCCCTTTCTCATTTGGAGCTCAGGGTTTGCTCTCAGTCCCACAGCCATGGCCCTGCTGTCCCAGCTCATGCTGAAATCAGGTTTTTTTTTTACATTTTCATTTCAAACCTCACATTCCCCACACCAGCAAGGAAAATCAGGCATTTATTTCCATTCCTGCATGGAGGTGTTTTGCCTCTCTCTGTACATTCATATTCATAAACACCTCAGGATTGGTTCATCTTGAAAAACAATAATTTGTTAGAAATAATTCAGGTTTTTTTTCATATCCCAACAATCCAGAATTTTAGATTTCAGCCATGTGGAGCTGTGCCCCTGCTTTATCTTACCTGTGCCCAGGCATTTTCTGTCTTCCCCAGCTCCTCCTTTTTGAGATTTTCCTTCTGCCACAGAGAACTCCTCTGATTTTTTTTCCTTCCTGCTTTTCCTCCTAATTCCTCCTTGGAATTCTTTTAAGGAATCTCTTCCTGTTCAGGAAGGAAAGAAATCACTTTTTTTGCTTGTTTTCCCAGCTTACAAAGACCTGCAAACCAGGGAAGATATAAGGAATGCAGCGTGGCATAAACCTGGCTGGGATGAACTGGTTTATTACACAGGTAACCCATTAACTTCTCTGGAATGCTGGGGGCAGACTTTGGGCTTTGTGCCACCCTCAGCACATCCCACTGGCTGGAAAAGTTTTGTATCTCAGGGGGAAATTTGTTTCTGTGTCAGTTTTTAGTCTGTGAAGGAGCAGAGGGAATTGCACTGAGCTGTAAAGTGAATTTTGCAGCTGGTTGTACATGGAAAAGTTGCCCAAGTGGTAAAAAATTGCTGCATTCATAGTGAATTTTTATAGCAGCATTTCTGTGGAATGTGGGAGAAGAGATTTCTGTAAATGCTTGTCCAAAGATTTAAGGAGCCAGGAGTGAAATTTACCTTGATATTAAATGATTGCTTCTGATATTTAATGAAATACAGGAGCCTTGTTAAATGCATTGCTGGGAAAAGGGAATTTAGACTTTGGAACAAAGAGCCAGGAGATCTCTGAGATCAAAGAAAGCTGTCACAGCACAACTCCCAGAATGTGCCAGGATGTCAGATTTGGGCTCCACAGGGCACATTTCAATAAAGTTACACCACAAAAATGCAGGATCACTTCCATTTTGGTGGAAAAAATGGAAATACTTGTCTTCAAATGAGCAGAGAGATGATATTAAAATCATTTTTTCCCACAACCACCATGCTAGAGGGATGATTACTGAATGTGCTGAACTTTTGTGAGTGAAATTCAAACCTCTGTCCATTTTTTTCAGTGCCCCTTATTCAGGAGATGGAGTCCAGAATCATGATACCCTTGAAGATTTCTCCACTTCAGTAAAGTCACTGATTTTCTTGTGCCTACATAGATAAAGTGACAAGTATTTGTCTTAATTTATGGTATACACTGTATATCATAGTCTGAAATATAAAAGTACTGTATTGAGCTTATAAAAGAGACCTCTTTTCTTCAGAACCCACCACCTTCTGCTCTTAGGGGGAAAAATAAAACACAACAAGAAGACTGTGATTAAAAGGTTGGTGAATTGGAAACAAGTGCAGATGTGTGGTTCAGGTCCCCAGGGAATGTGTGACCTGCAGGAATTGGCATCTCCTGCCCCACAGGCAGTGCCCAGAGCTCAGGAGCATTTAATGCACACAGCAAACGTGGCAGCGAAATGAGAGAAAGCTCTGGAGAAATGAGAATTTCATTTCGAGTTGTGAAAGCAGCAGCTCTGGGGGTGCTGTGAAATCACCCCTGGCTGGTGGAGCAGGGCTGAAAGGAGCAAATCTGCATTTCCAGGCATTGATTTGGGACAATGCTCTGTGGCAGGGCAGGGGTTGGGACAGCAGGGTCTGTGGGCACACATCCCTGTGAGCACACATCCCTGTGAGCACACATCCCTGTGAGCACACATCCCTGTGAGCACACATCCCTGTGCAGCCCCCCCAGAATGGATCCCAGGCAGGGTGAGCCCCATTTCCCCACAGACACTGCCTGAACACCCTGCAGGGAACCCCACAGCATTTCCCTCCCCAAAAACAGCTCCAAACTCTGGGAAAAAGGGGTTGAATTTCATAAGCAGAGCTGGTTCAGCCTCACAGCGGGGCTGGGTTGGTGTGTGAAGCTGGGCTTGGCATTTCTGTGTCCCATGGTGTCCAGTTCTGTTTTGGTTTCACTTTTAGGCTAGAATGTATCCACACTTTTTGGTGTCTGCAACGATGTGAGCATCCTGTAAGTGACAATAATATTCTCTCTCTCTCTCTCAAGTGGCTCCAAGAATCAGTGTAACATACTGAATGTACAAATCAGTTCTGAATGTCCAGTTTGTACATTTCAAGAAGTTTTCAGGAAGAACATATCAGTCAATAAAAACCTTTTAATTTTCACTTTTTGCTGGTATCTATGTATTGCACCACTTGTGTTTTCTCTCCTCTTGCAGTGTTTAGTATGGAAAATTGAGAATATTTCAGCTTCATTAACCAATATCACTTCTCTGGGTTGGGGACAGCATTTCCAATTTTCTGCTCTCTTTCTCCAAAGTGAATTTACAATTTCTCCATCACATCCCATTCTGCTGAGTGTTCTGTGAAGATAAATACAAACCACTTTTCCTTTGGATTTTTCTCCACAAATGACGCTTCATTTTTCAGGTGTGGTTTCTTTCCTACTTGCACTGGTGCCTCCCCTTGAGTTTCCCCTTGAACAAAGTCAATATTTGATCTGGTTCTTGCCTGGTTTTACATTTTCCTCCTGTTGCCAAGTGATGATGGGGTTTTACTGAGGCACATTCTGTGCTGGATCAGCTTGAAGTTGCTCGGTGGGCCAAGGAAATCATTGGAGCTGTTCCTCCTTGTAAATCAGCCCTGAGCACTGATATCCCCTGGGGATGCCATTTTATCTGATTTTGGGGCTGTTCTTCAGCTGCAGAAGGCAAAAAGGGATGCCAATATCACCTTCCAGTCCTTTTATCTCTCCCAGATTTCTTTTCCTTGGAGATTTGTCCTTGTAACTCCCACCCAGCAAACTCAGCCAGAAACAAACACCAAAAAAATTTTGGAGCCACAGGATTTTTTGTGTTCTGATGCACTCCGTGTTTTTTACCCTCACCAAGAATTAAATTCTGCCTGGCACAGCTCTTGTTGTCCAAAGAGCACAAAGTTTTGCCTGGGTAAGGAAGCAGAGGAGTCACTGTGGGGTGAGATCAGAGTGCAGGGCCCTCACCCACGGCCAGGATCTGAATCCCCCCTGGAATTCTGAATTCCCTGCCCTGATGTGTTATGGATGAGCCTCCCCTCATTCTGAGCGTCCTGCTCTGCTCTGGCTGCCCTCAGGGACAGAAAAAACTGATAAAACTGGTAAAATTCCTTGTTTTACCTGCAGCTAAAGCAGTTTCTGCTATTTTCCTTACAGATAACGGTGTTAGCTCCAATGGAAATGGGCAGTGCCAATCTTTCCTTGGCTTCCCTTCACCTGAGCTGGGTTTTCCCTGGTTCTGGAACTCTGTTGGGATTTTCCCCCTTGATTCCATGGCTGAGTTCAAGTTTTGGAGCTGTTCTTTCAGATGAGGGATAACCTTTCCTTTCCCCCCCGATTCAGCTGTTGGTTGTGTTTCATCAAATCCTGCATATTCCCCTAGAAAACAATGGAAGGACAAGTTGGAAATACAGATATTTTCTGGTAAATGAAGGAAAATCTCTCTCTGTTGTCTTGGTTTCAGTAGGTGAGCAATGCCTGAGGATTTCTCACAGAACAACCCCTCAGCATCTCCTACAGCACAGCTGCTGCAGTCCAGAGCTGAAATCACTTCCCAAAGGTTGAAAAGTGGGGACAGTGCTTGGAAAAGCCTCTGGCAAATCTCAACTCTTATTCCATTGCCATGACACAATTAAAACTCAGGTTTAATTGTCCTGGAGAAGGCTGCAGACTGTCCCTCGTACAAATACATGATTTAAATCGATTCTGCCTCATTAAATAATCACATTAAAAAAAACTTTTTTGTAAAGGCTGGTGGTCAAAAGACCGAGGTGGAGCCCAGCTCCTCCCTGTGTGCCTGTGCTGCTCCCCAGACTTTGCCCCTCTGTGCTGGGACGTGTCCAGGCAAATCTGTGACACTGGAACTTTGCCTCCCCCTGCTCTATTCCCGCTGGGAATTTTCCACTATTTCACAGACCAAACAGCTGAGCCTCTCCTGAGCTCAGCAAAGCTCCTGCTGCCTCCTGGGCTGGAGGTCAGCCTCCAGTGGAAGGGGAAGGGGCGTTTGGGTGTTTTTTCCAAGGCAGTGTGACCCAAAGAGCTGTTGTGAAATCCCTGGCACTGCCCCGCGTTTCCATAGAGCCCCGAGTGGCAGCAGCTCCTGCTGTGAATGTTAAACTTCATTTGCAGGGCTCTGTCTGAGCCTGAGCCATGCCCCAGTGCCCTGCAGCTGATCAGCTCCACGGCAGATTTATTTCCGTTTTATTTCCTTATTTATTTGCTGCTTTTAATTCCATAAAAAACAGCAAATAAACTCCTTCACTTCCTGACTGTGGGAATTGCACAGGGGAAAAGTGGGAGCAGAAACTCCTCAGCTGTGCCCTGCTGGTGCAGCCCTGGCTGAACAGAGGCAGGATTGTCCTGGGGCTGCCCTGGGAGCTGGCTGGGATTTCCCTCAGGGAGCATTTCCATCCTCAGCACTCCCAGAGGTTGTGGGGAGCCCTGCCGGCATTGTCTGCTGGTGTCTGTGGGGTTTGCTGAAGCCTCTGCAGATTCTTTGGGCTCTCACATCTCTGCCTTGCTCCAAAAACCATCCCAAGTCTGTTTCTGGATTTGTTTTCTTTTAACCCTTCCATTTCTCTGCTATTTAAATGCTGTTGTAACTTCAAACCAAAAAGATTTTTCAGCCTCTCTGAGAGCTGCAGCCCTCACTGTGGGCTGTGGTGACTCCTCTGTCCCCATCTCCCCACAGAATGAACAGAACCGGGGTTTGCTTTAATTGCTGCTGCTGCTTTAATGATTGGACAGCACCTGTCTCGTGGTTTAATCATCAAAAATTAAAGAAATTCAGTGCTAATTGTGAAAAGAAATTATTATTATGAGACAACGTGAAATTTTGGAGGGTAGGGACATCACTTGTTTCAGTTTCTGAAATATGTGGTGGGGTGAAAGAGAATTGTCGCACTTCAGTTTCTGGAAAAATGCTGGGGCTCTTTGTAAGCACTTAGAAATAAAAACCTCAGCAGATATTAAATGTTTCAATATTAANCTCCACACGTGTAATGCCGGCATTTCAATACCTGGATGCTCGCTGGCCCTCCGGGATCCCAACTCCTCCGAGCAACAGGGTGCACAGCCCGAAATCTGCGTGCCCCCGGGGCTGGGCTGCCTGGCTGCACATCCCGACATATTCCTGCCACTCGTAGGATCCCCTTGGGAGTCACGGCTGATTTTTCCGTGTCCCCAGGGAGCTGGGATCTGCACGCCGGTACCAGGGCACACAGAGAGGCACATCCCGCAAGTTTTGGGGTGTAAGATTGGCATTTCTGTATGCAGGGGTGACACACACACACACACACAGCGGAGGAAGCAGGCACAGGGTGATGGAAACACGGGAATTCCCAAGCTGCGATGGATCTACACAGTTTTTCCTCCCTTCCTTTAAACAGGGAAAGCTGCTTCTTCAACCTCAGAAAAACTAAAAGCATCCCTGCGGGCAGCTGTCCAGGGAATGTGTTGTGAGGTTTTACCTGCATGTTTTGGGGTTATTTTAGTTTCAAATAAACTTTGTTTAGACCACAGATCAAAACCTGTCAAAGATAGACAAGTTGTTTTTCTTACTCTTCCAGGCAGATTTGATTTTCTACAAAATCTAAATATTGACCTGGTGTGTCCCACCCAGGTTGTATTTTATGCTAAAGCAGGAGCTAAGTGTAAAGAAGTTATTTCCTTTACATTTTTAATCTAATCTAAGCAAGTATTCAATGTTAGCCTTTGTGTTCAGAGCCCAATCTTTGGAGCAAGAAAGCAAAGCCCACAGTTAATATTTGCAGCTTGAGAACTTGCTGCCAAAGACAATCTGATGCTCACAGCTGTTGGAAAACCTGAATTCAGTTCCTGTTCCTCCAGAGCTAATTTTGGGTACAGATTGCTCAAAAAACTGAACCAATGATCAGTCCAGGGCTTCTTGGTTCAGTGATATTTTAGGATATGGATTAAAAATCGGCCCCTTGAATCTCAGTTTGGGTGCAGTGAGCATCTGCTTTAATGAACTCAGCCTGTTATCTTAGTTCTGTGTGAGGTGTGTGTTTAGTTGTGATTTGTTAATCAGTGCTTATGAGGAGCTTTACAGCTGCTGGGGAGAAGATTTTCCATAAATGTAAAATATTATTCATGTCATTGTTTTGAAAATTAACCAGACCTCCAATTTTAGGTGCAGTTGAACATTCAAATCATGAGATTCTCCTGATAGCACAGAAATTTGCTTTTTTTATCCCTGTAGCTCCAGCTTACTCCTGCTGCTGGTGAAGTTCACAAAAAGCATCAGGATTATTTCTCTTCAAAGTTTGCTGCAAACAATAATCCTTGTAGATGAATTTTCTAAATATGACTTTGCTAACTTTGTTGAATAAAGGAGAGGGAATGGTTTAAAATGAGAATTTACAGGTCTGAGTATTGCAGGAGTGGGCTTGACTTCTGCCTTCTGGAACCAGCGAGAGCTTCATTTGAGGGAGCTTTTTAAAACAAAATTGAATTTCTTGAGTTTCTGAGGTGGGATTCACCCCTGTGCTCAGAGAAAGCTCCATTCCAGCAGCAGCCTTATCATGGAATGCCCTTCAAATAAATGCCTGCCCTCAGGAATATCTGCTTGGCTTCCAGCACAGCCACATGTCTGTGTGTGTGTGCCCAGAGCAAGGGAGGCACCGTTTTCAATAAGCACACCAAGATTTAGACATTATTTCTTCCTGCTGAAGGTCATCTCAGCTGTGCTTGTTGTTTCTCTGCTGGGAAATACTTTCCCTCTCCTCCATCCTGCTCCCCATGGGCAGAACCAGGTCATTATGTTCTTTTCTGACACTGGGATTAAAAGGTGGATTGTTGTTAAAAACTGCTTTTGTGTAACACAGGTGTGTCCAGGTTTTCCCAAAGGAAATTGAGATTTTATTTCCCTTGTATTTATTTTTCCTAGTAGAAAGCTTTGGGCTGGAGGTCCAGCTGTCTTCTGGATCCCCAGATCAGTAATTAAGGGTGAAAAGTTGATATCTGAGGCAGGAAAAGGCTGAGATTTCCAGCTTAGAAGTAAATATATATGGTAAATATAAATACCACATTTAATATTTTAGTATTTCAAGAGAAGCTTGTGACAGAATTAATTTTCTTCACTGTGGCTACTATGAGTCTGTCAAAAAAAAAA